ACATACATATTACCAAAGATGTCGAAGAAAACGGAACTCTTCCTTTTCTCGACTGTTTGGTAAAACATGACAATCAAAAACTAGGAACAACAGTTTATCGCAAGCCAACACATACTGACCGACTACTAGACCAATCATCTTACAACCCTACATCACACAAAGCCACCACAATCAGAACATTAACAAGACGTGCACAAATCATATGTGATTCACCGGACGCTCTACAAAACGAAAACAACTATCTCAAACGTGTTTTTGACAAAAACAACTATAACTCTGACTTTATCAAACGCAACACTTACAAACCCAACGAACCCAACGAAACGAACAACTCAGTGACAACAGCAACGATACCTTACATCAAAGGTACGTCTGAGACTATCTCGCGTATCTTACGACCATACAACATACGTGTCGCACATAAACCAATCACAACATTACGACAAGTACTAACGAACATAAAGGACAAAGAACAACCCAACGAACGACAAGGTGCAGTTTACAAAATAAACTGCTCCGACTGCCACGCCTCCTATATCGGGAAACTGGCAGGAACTTAAACATAAGACTTACTGAGCACAAACGAGCTACTAAGAAACAAGACAAAACTAATCACATTGCCGAACATCACCGAATCACAAAGCACAACATTGACTGGGACTCGGCAAAATGCATCACTTACAGTACTGACTATAGACAACGGCTTACATTAGAAAGTTGGTATACCAACTTGGAACAAACCCCCCCCTGAACAGATCACAGCAATTACCGGCACCTTACAAACGACTTATTCACAATACAAACAAACGATCAACTAAAAACATTACACTTCAAACTAATTCACAATGACAATACACAATTGACACCCACACATTACAACTAAAACGTCACACCTAAATCACACATCACAACTAAAAATAAAATATTTCACTTCACACTAATCCACAATGACAATACACATTTCCTGCACATTTCCTGTACACACAATACAATGACGTAAGAACCAGACAACAAATACGGCTAACCTGACGTTTACTCCTCATTTGACTCTGAAGATGACTACCGCTAAGGTTGTCGAAACGTCAGTCAACAACATCAAAAACAGTCCTTCTCAGGACTTTATTAACCTGGACGATCATCATTTACAAACATATAACGATACTCCCGGGTTCAAACCATTTACTTTATCACAAATAATCCTTATATAAACAGAAGCCGTGGGTGAGAGGGATCCGTATTTTTTCAGGTCATATTTATATAGTGCTGTCAGAGTATTGAACGAAAAAGTACAAATCTTGAGCAAGTGTACATTGTGCAAGTGTGCAAGTGTGCAAGTGTGCTCTGACCAACATCAACCCAACAAAATTGAATTGCTCACCACTGTGTGACTTCATAGCTCAGTTGGTCAGAGCACTGCACCGTCACCGCAGAGTATTTTTCAGGTTCATGACACAATTGCTTAAATTGTCCAGCAAAGTGCGAAGATCATATCTACATTTAATTTCAAACACCGCACTGCATAAAACATTCTTTCAGATGTACAATTAGTAAATTATCATTTTTGGCACAATACAGTCTTGATTATGACTACATTTCAAGGTGTATAGTCATTTCAAAGAACGATTTGAGCCAAGTTGAAAGTATTATATACAGCTTCTTATTTCCCCTGTAATTAAAGAGAACTTGTTTGATTTGGAAATACTCACGTGATGATGTGCTAATAAACTTTATTTGAGTTGTCGCTGGTGTCCGAGGGATCTTTTTATTTTGGTCCATCTGTCCTTGTCAGTTTTACTATCTGAAAAGAATCAAGAAAAACACTCAAGAAATTAAGGTCTTCTTTTGATCTTCTTGCAAGGGAGCACTCTGAACGGTGTTGTTTACAAAAATAAAGATAAAAAACTAAGGTTATATATAGGCAAGCTGAAGGACTGGAAATTTCATATTTAAAGTCATGCGTGGATTTAAGTTCGAGGAAGTAAATTAAAAGCTCTATTTGGTATTTTTTTGCATATAAATTAAAAACAGTTAATATTGTATCCTAATAACAATTATTACGAAAATGCTTATGTTGTGACAGTTGAGGGAGGGGCGCCCCATCTAGGAAGGGCCACAGGCGGCCTGGTTCAAACCTACGCCACTGCATATAATATTGATTAATTAGAAAGTGCTAACGCCCTGCTTAGATTAATCGGCAGATTTAAAAGTTTCAGTTTATACTTGTTCCGTCGTTCTTTCCAATGTATACAAATTTCATATTTCCCTGTTCGTTCTCTGTCAATTTTGATGGAAATTTTGAGTACATAGTGTATCTCTATAGATGTGCAAAAACGAGATCAACTGACGTAGAATGGTGATCAAAACAGACAAGCTATAAAAAGGCCTCCATCATTTATCTGTACTGCAACTTTTTCCAATGATTCATTTAACTTTTCGATATCTTTTTGCGGATTGTTTTCATTCCAGGATTTCCTTCTATGCTCTTTGATCTCCAACAGTTCTTGTTTGCAAGCTACTTCCATCGAGTGAAGACCGTCATAGTATTGTTCGTGATTTTCTTGAATCCTTTTTGAATTCAATTTACTGATGTAATATCGTATGATTCCGTAAATTCCTAATAACATAAGAACTTCATGATTTTAGTCATCAGACTTCTTGCAACATGTTTCATTGTATGTGTGTTCAAAAATTTTATTTGCTCCTAAGCATCTAAGAACGTTTGACATCTGCATGGTCAATGATTATGTGTACTTCGCTAGATAAAGAAAATTAGAATCGGAAATCTGTAAAACCAGAACACTAAAAATGGATTGCTGTTTCATAGGGACATTAAACCGAATATTTTTAGTTTAGTATTTACTTGCATCATTCCAACATGATTGATGTTTACACTATTAATTTAATTTTATTAAAAGGAAATCATTCAATACAGCGATTGGAAGAGTAAGGTATATGTCTGCTACGATAACCAGAAGCCGTTTGATAAAGTGTGGGTAATTCAACAGGAAGTTATTGCAATTAGAAAAATAGGTACGTAACGCGTATATGTGGGTAGCTTGTCAAGTATATACTTACTGCATGAAGTAGATTTAATCAAAATAGTTATATTGAAATTATATAAAAAAATTATAAATTTTTTATTATTTACGTCAAACTTGTGCAAGATTTGAAAATGCTCTTTAGTTATATGACCATGTAGTTGCCTAACCTTTCTGCATTTTTCGAACGCCCTAGCTTAGATTGAACGGCACGTGACTGTGCTCATAAGCCTCGCATCATGGAAAGTGAAGTCATTTAAATTTCTCTTGACTTTCACAGGTTTTTCCTACTGAAAACAATTTTTGCTTCAATTGTGTTTCAAAAGAGTTTTTGAAGTGTCTGAGATGTCGTAGGTCCCACAACTGATAAATCAAAAGCTTATGACGTGTATTAGACTACGACGTTTACACTAATTCGGATCGGTCTGAAAACGGCACAAAAAAGTAACAGAACTGGGTTTCGTTTATTCTGCACTTTTGTCAGAGCGATACGACCACTCTTTCTAAACGTCGTCGAACAAAAACGGAGCGCTACACATTGTCGTGTAAATAGCTAACCGTTTATATTTTGCTAAAATTTAGAAACCTTTTCCATTTAATTTGCCCGTGTTGTGACGCATAGTTCAAAATGGTGATCATTTTACGTTTTGAAAAGCTTTTGATGACTAATTCCGTTGTAATTATTAAATATCATTGTTTTTCATAACCTATGGCTAGAGATATAAACATCTAGTAATATGCAAATAAGAAATGGCGACATCTTTCACAAACAAATAACGAATTTTAACAGCGAGGGACACCCGCAAAACTGCAGCGGAATTTACGCGGATATGGGCAAACCCAGTCCAATTATAAAGAAGCGTTTATCCGGCGTAGTGTAAAAGTAGTCTTAGATTAGAAGTAAAGACACTTGTATTATGGTAGTAAACATAACACAATTATATAGAAAGCGCTGTTTTTTGTTACTTTTTTCTAATCACATCCCGAAAAGTCATAAACAATATTTGATACGTGTAGACAGGGCCTAAGTCAATATTTATGCAACCTCCATGAAGAAGCAATATGCTTGCATTTTCGAAGTGATATTTCTAGCAAAGATAGCTCGAGTCGATTCATTGTATGATATTTTCGTCCTACAAGAAATATTTTCGATTTTGTCGAGATTACCGTGGCTAAAAAAAGCTATTTATATTTGGAGTGGAATTTGAAACAAAGATTGGACTATGCGAGTTATGATGGTCGATCTATTCGACAAATACGCAAGGAAACAATTTTGGGTCAAGAATGAAAGTAAATCTGACGTAGGAAGGACAATGACAAAAGATGCATAAATTTTGACGTAGTTGTACGTCGAGGAATGAAATTGAAATTACAAGAAAAAAAGATGTTGTTAACAAAGATATTTTTATCCAAGCTTTCTCTGGTGTTTGTTCATCAAGAGAGCTTTTTATCCGCGATGTTAGAGCTACTGTTGTCAATTTCGAATGTTCAAATATATGCGTTGTTTTGTTGTAAATTATTTGTTATCGAATCAATGATTGCTCGAAAGATTGTGAATACATTTGATTTACCGAAGGTAAATTTTACCCTCAAAAAGTATAAAGTGAAGTACCAGGCAAACAAACTTGCAAGAAAGCAAAACTTACGAGATTGCTAGCTGCTAAAGTGATATTCTATCCTTATTGTGTGCTGAATTTGATCAAATGTGTGATTTAAAATGACATTATACAGCCTTGTTTTTAAAGTTTTCTGATAAAGGATAAAATGCTGCCGTACGCCATCTCTTAAAATCTAAGTTGAAAATACCGGAATATGATTCCACTTTTCTAAGAGATAGCATACCATAATCCATAATACTTCATTAGAAAAGTTGATTCAAAATTGTAAAGCTACTTGTAATTGATAGGCGATACTTCAAGTAATAAAGAAACTTAGATCCCAAAGAAAAAATTACATGATGTGTACGCTCATTAATGCCAAATTCAATAATATTAAAAACTTTACGTACAACTCTTTTGAAGCTAGTTTTGTGATTAAATATATTTTGTTACAATGGCGGATCCAGTGTTAGTCATAATAAATTATAGGCTCGATGCTCAATTTTTAATACAAAACACTTTCAGAAGTAAACTAAATATTTGAATTTCTAAATGATAAAATTTTATCAAAAAAATTTCCTCTAAGGTATTTTTTAAACCCCAAACGAGCTACAATAATTTATTCTGATTGATGTGTCATAGATCCGTCACTCATATAGAAATATCAAACAAAATTTGAAAATGGTAGAGTTATTGTATGTTATAAAGAACCAGCTATTATACATAAATTAATAATTTATCTTCCGATTGTTTTTTCAACTTTATCAGAAATTTTATAGCTATAGCTATTTCTTCCCTTACATCTTGCCAGTAAGTCTTCCATTAATGAAAACTTTTGAATCGCCTCAGTGGTATTCAATTTTCGTTGATGATTGCGTTCATTCATATCAAACTGTTGAAACAACTTAGATAGGTCTTGTTTCCAGTAAAATGTGGTCACATGTATCGCTATCAAACAGAACATCATCATTTTGTCGCCTGTACCTTTCAATTACGGTGTAGTGATCACTATATGTCACCAAGTTGTGAGACATTTTACTCGACAAAGTTAAGATACGATTTATCCAACACCTAGAGGCGTAAATGGTCACGTGATGTGGCAACCAAAGGATTCGATGAAACTGTTTTCTTCGCCCTGTTAAATGTCGTAACGTTTATTCTGTTCTGAAAATAATTAAAAATTGTCTGGTTCAGTGCTCTGTTGATAAAGCGTTTCCACGAATAAGTATCTGTTTCGTTTGTTTGATAGCACGAGTAGACACCATAAAGTAACTTAGCCATCAAAATCAACATATGAAGAATTTGGCTAAAAGGAAAAAATTGATTGAAAACTAAAGGCCTTGAAATGGTTTGTCTTTCTAAGTTTTAATAATTGATCAAAAGCAAAAACAGAAATTCATCTTTCTTTTTGTGTATCTTAGCTTAAATATGAAGTCTCATATAGACAAGTATCACGATAATAAATTTAAGACTTCAGACAACAGACTTGATCTTGATAAACTCCTTTGCACTAGTTCATATCTAACTGTTATAGGCGTTCAGTTTTAAGACGATTCTCTAGCATATTCTTGAATGATTTAAATAGCTACTACATGCATGTTTTTCAAAACGTTTTCACTTTCAGGTATACAATTGACGTCACTCGATCTTTTCATTCGAATCTGTCTAGTTTTCACTTTCTTACAGGGATAAAAAAAGAGAGAATACTTACAGCACAGATCGTACAGCATTGCTCAGAAGGCCGGTGAGAAGAAGACTGGATAGCCACTGGTTAATGCTATGCACTTGATAAGTAGATAGGATTTTACTTTTTCTTTCAAAAATCTTTAAAGGAAAAATAGTCACGATGTGAATAAAATATTTTCAGATATATCTAAACTGCGAGTAGCAGATTGCAGTGCAGTTTATTTGTAATTGCAAAGCTAAAAAGTGTAATTGTTCAGTAGAAACTCTGTAAGTGCACTGTGAAAATGTGTAATGTAAATACTGTTTGTAAAAGATGACTACCGCTAAGGTTGTCGAAACGTCAGTCAACAACAACAAAAACAGTCCTTCACAGGACTTTATTAACCTGGATGATCATCATTTACAAGATGACTACCGCTAAGGTTGTCGAAACGTCAGTCAACAACAACAAAAACAGTCCTTCTCAGGACTTTATTAACCTGGACGATTATCATTTACAAACATCCATTTACTTTATTAATGTAAATACTGTAACCTGATTGGCAGAAAGGCATTGAAAGCTAAAGAAGCTTTTTCACCATGCATTTAAAACATGGAAGCAGTTGCAATTAAACAAAAATTTCCACAATTGCAATCGTGTGAAATTCAAGAATTACAAAAAATACAAAGATTAAAAACACAACAGGAAGTAATGTTTTTGTGGTGAATGTTTATAAATGTTGGAAAATTGCCAAGACTGCTAATATCGCACCCTTTTTGGTAGTATTTCGTTGCAGTATTTCAAAAAGCTCTCTCGCACATGTTTGTCCATAAGCACTCGAAACTTTTCTATTAAAAGTTTATTCAACTGTAAAAATGTTTCATTCTATCGAAAAAATATAACTGCTACTGTAGTATGCTTTAAAAAAATCGCTATCCCATGTACTCACCTATTTCTATGGATTAAAATCGAACGGAAGAAAGTGAGATAATATTGGTCCATAATTTAAGATCCAAGAGGCTTTGCAACTTGTGTGTTATCTACGTTTTCTGAATTTTTTCTTTCTTGGGGTAACAACTTTTCAACTTGTCAGGTCGTTTGGTGGTTTTTGCCTTTGAGGCTTTTATCTGTTTTTTTTGGTTGGCATAATGAGCGCCTAATTGGCATTTTCCCATTCTTTTCAATTGGTTCATATTGCATAATATCCTGATCTTTTTTTTGGTTCTTTTTATGCTTAAGAGAAGGTCGATAGGGTTTGTTGGGAAGCTCGGTATGTTGCTACGTAAGTTGTGGGATGAGTTGTCAATGTCTTCTTGTTTGCCCTAAAATCTATATTATGTAAGTTCACATGCTTCTTTTTGAGTTCTTTATAATTGAGCGAGGGTGGGAAGTTTCGGAATTTGGCTAACACCAAAAACAAATTTTAAGTTTAAAGACCATCAGCTGCCACCATCCTACTTGAACAACTAAGATTTCTATTATTTGCGTGACTTTGGACATATTCCGTTTTGCAAATGTCCGAATAGCAATCAAACCATTTACTGGCAATGACAGAAATTCCATAGTTTTCATCATTTTCATCGTTTGTAAAAGATAAGACAACAACCTGAGCAGAAAGGGCTTTATCAAAGTCTATCGGATTGTCTCTACCATTGGTGCCATCGTAAATTTTAACTTCCTTCATGTGTTTCACCAGATTAACGCAATGGCTTATTTTATTCGTGTGATAAAGCAAAACACCTGCATTACGCTTTGAATTTTTAAAAGCGTTTTTCACATCTTCCAGTAGAAGACCTCTGTTGTCATCCGTGCACCGTTTGAGGAATATTTTTCTCAAGAAGCCTTTTTCATTTAGGACAGGAAGTACTTTTGTGCATGGCAACAAACCATCCATTTCTCCAAGCTTCTCTTGCATTTTTGTCTCCTTGTTTTCGAACACATCTTTCACCGTAATTTGTTGTAATTTCTGACAAAACCTTGACATACAAAAACGTACTCCTTCTTCATAGAGCATCACCTGCAGGGCAACTAAACCACATGACCGTTTACAGAAAATCATTTTCCTTGGATCGAGGCAGCATAACTGTAAACATAATATAATATATTTTAGGCTGTGGCGTAACAAACTTGACAATTGGGAGGAAGGGGGTGGCGGCGCATATCCATACATGCATGTTTTACCACATTCACTTCTTTTGAACTCTATTGTTTTCTTTGGACTAAAACATGCATATATTACTTGTTACTATTAAATGCATATATTACCCACCAATTATAGCTATGATACCACGGATTTATGACTAACCTCTAGCCTACATTAAACTCAATTTATTCCGTTTGAGTTTCTTGGCACCTCGTTTCCTCATAGACGAAATATCGAAATTGTCAGGTTTCAATGGCTAAACTAGAATCCACCGAACCAAACAGATATGACATATTTTAAAAATGGAATAGTTTACAAGTCATTGGTCTAAATGTGGTTTCTTTATTGGATCTGAATGTGTCTTTACGGGATATTGTAAAAGATATTTGGGGAAATTGGATTGTAAATTGAAATTTGATTGATAATAAATACACATACTTGATTGTCTGTATTTGGCTCATCGGATTCTTGTGGAAGACTTTTCCTTTCGCTCTGCAGAATATTTTGAGGCTAAAATAGACAAAAAACAACACTATAAACAATGTACAATGCACACTTAGACTGTATGGGTTCTTTACTTTCCACACACCTAAATCGTAACTGTATAAAGAAGAACTACGGAACCAGTAAAATTGGGAAGTATACCACTTTTAGAAAATGCAGTCTGACTGATATGAAAACGGCAATTATGATCATGTGAAATTATCATCAAATAGCATAAAAAAGGAAAGCATTGGTTGCCTATTTGTTTAATATGTGGCTTGTAACAAAGATTAGGATTTTAATTCGTACAATCTAGAATATGATTGGCTGAAACCTAAAGAGAATCAACAATTAGACAAAAAGTGTAAATTAGCTATCTATGAGCGAATATTTCCCAAAGACGAAGCCCAAGAACTATTGATTTCAAAAAAATTTTAATTTCCCTTTGTCAGCAATTAGTTTACATACTTGATGGTCGGAACAAGGTTTACTGCGTTCTTGTGGAAGTCTTTCTCTTTCGGTCTCCAACATATTTTGAGACTAAAAATCGCCAAAAATAACGATAAAATATTATGGCAATGCTTAAACAACACTTGAATTGTAATGAGACCCATATACACAAACCAAAATTTAAAGAACTAAAACATGGGCTTCAGCACGATGATAAAAGTACCATTTCAAAAGATCTTTGACACTGGATGTAAAGCGCTCCCTTCATTAATCACCTTACTAACCTCAAAATCACTGTCGTACAAAGAACCATTCAACTCATCTTCATTTTCTTCTGGTGTCATTGCCTTGATTGCTTCTTGCTGAAAAGAGTTTGATGACAGTGACGTCGAAGAAGAAATTAAGAATCCCATCTATAAGTCTGAAAACATGCCAAAAAATTAAAACCTACCGGGTGATCTTGGTATTCTTCGCCATGATCTGACACACAAGATTCCTGCATAATTTTCCGCCCCTGAAATCGAGAAATATTTTTTTAAAAATATCGTTTTCCAAGAGAAAGATAATCAGTTTTTTTCATACATCCTGTATAAACTGATTGGAATAATGCTTTTGCGCATGCTCAAATGTGTTGTTTTGAAAGATCTTGCACTACTGAAATAAGCGTGACAAACTTTGAAAAATTGATTTCTTTCTCTCCGGTGACATGCTCAAGTGATTGCGCCTTGTGTTAGTGCAGACTTAGGTAAGTGGAAAATTTGGTTTCATTAAGCATGATAAATTGTGTTGTTCTGCAGGTGATAATATGAACAGTTTCTTAAAGAAATTCTTTGCTACTCAAATCTTTGCTTCAATGTGACTAGTTTTCCGTTTTTTGTTCATCAAATATGATGAAAAATGCGCACAAACATGGTTGTCAACTTATTTTGATGATCACAAATGACAAGTTACAAAAATTACCTCAATTTTCATCTTGTAAAACTCATCGCACGTCTTTGAAATGAATTCATCGTAACGTTCTTTAAGCTCTCTGACTTTAACTTGACAAACTTCAGCAATAGATTCAATCAAACGACAATACTCATGAATTTTTTCATGTTCACCTTCCAAAGTTATTGGAACACGGAGGTTTGACATGTAGGAAAGTACTGACTGCAAATATTCCAAGTCAAATGTCATTTTGTCTTGGGTTTCCTTTTGACAATCGACCTGTAAATGCAAGCAATGGTATTGGAAAAATGTCACCAACCATCTATAAAACCTCCAGTTAAAAAAATCAAGTGCATGATTTCTCTCCATCGTCATTGATGTTTACTTACTGAGGGGCGATCGAAATTATAATCACTATGGTAACTAAAGAGATAAAATACACGGAGAACGCAGAAAGTTGATGATTAGGGGGGAGGATGCTCATATTATGCATGTTCTACTTTATTAGTTAGTTAAAATAATTGTAATAACGAATTATACAGTATGTATGAATGTATGAACATGCTCCCCTTCCCAATCATCGATCTTCTGCGATCCCTAATACAGGGTGTGTTAAAAATCCTGCAAAACCGTAATTTACATAGCAACAAGTGCCAATTTTTAGTATACAAATGCATGTGCAACTTTTTACACACCTAGGATTGTAAAATACGTTCTAATTCAAAACATTGAGTAAATTCTCAAGTAACCACAAAACTAAGAAAATTTATTGTGCTAAGTTAAGGCCCGTTTCCACTTAAGAAATTTTCCACGGATAGTGAAATTTTCCAGATTGTGCACGTGTTAAGCAATGCAAGAGATGCGTTCAAATTTTCCAGTGGAAACAGTGTTTATTCCAGCAGAAATTTTGAAATCAAGTTACAGATGTTAGAAACATTTAGCATAAATTAATATAAAATTGTTTGAAAAGTATTTGTGGTCTACAAGTCTTATTTCCCGAATAAAAGTGGCAAATTTGCCGTTAGTCGTTGTTTCAGCAAATATTCGTCTTACAACATATTTTCTTGTATTTATTTTGTGTGCCCAACCTTGTGTAGTAGCTGTTTCTTATCAGCAAAAGAAATAATATACGTCTATTTAAGGCCGCCATATTTATTCCCACCTTTGCATGAATGTAAAATGAAAATTGTTCCTGAAAAAACAGATATGCAACAAATTTTCCTTTCTATGCAAAAATTTCTTAAGTGGAAACGGAACTTTACGCCTGAACACAATATGAGACAAATTATTACATAACTTACAAATTGCGGTAGCCTCACATACGGGAGGACACAATTGTGGAACACCTTGCCACAAACGGACTGCCAACAACTATCAGGTTGGGTTAGGATGAGGATTAAGTTTAGGGCTATGATTAGGTTTAGGATCAGGCTTACAGGTAGAGTAAGTATGTGACAGAGTGTTCATCGATTTTAGCTTCCGTAACAAATTGCCAACTTCCTGGGGGGAGGGGGGGAATTATTGCAACGTTTTAACGTCGGGTGATATGAAAAGGTTGCAATTTTTGCAGCATTTTTCCTTGAAACTTTACTCCTCTGTTGTTTGCAACAACAAACAACAATTTCTGAAAATTTTTACGTAGTCGCAAAATGAAAGAATTTAAAGACTCTTTGTTTCTTTTTGTATGTGTACTGAAGAATGCTGTTTGTTTTAAATTTCATTGAACATTATTTAGCGTATGATGCATCACAGGGAAAAAACTTCTGTTTCATTTGCTTTTGTTTGAAATAGCAATGAAACCTCATTTACTGCACTCAGTTCCTAGCGGAGGGCAATGCAATTCGACGTGAAAACATGTAAAACATAGCTATCACTGGAAAACTATAAGCGTAAAACACAATATCAAATGCACTTAAGCATAACAAGCTTCGACTCACTTTTTCTGGGTACATGCACACCGTATACCCGATTGCTATAACATTTTAAATTTTCGGTGTATATATGTCATTGGCAACGTTTAACGTCATAAAAAGAAGCAAAAAGGGCTAAATTTATCAAATTAATAAGCCTTTGCTTCAAATAATCGCCCCTAAATAAAGGTAAACATTGCCTAAGGGGTCAAATGGGAAATCCCCAGATTATAGAGAATGACTATATATGTACATTTCTTTAGAAATCTAACTAAACTAACTATAATCTAGCTTTTAAATTAACTGAGTAACAAAATGCTTACATAGCAATACTGAAACTTGCTTAGAAGAGCAATAACTCGTACTTTTCAAACAAAAACATCTTTCAATAAATGAAGTTGAATTGTAACATTCGAGGTCATTTAGTAATCACTTTAACTTGACATTTATTGGCAAAATAAATTATTTCGCCAATAAGTTATTAAGCATTTCCAAATATAGAATTGTAATGGTATTCATTATTTCGCTCATATTTGATTAAGCTGTGACAATATTTGATATTTTAAAGAAATGTCGAAAAAAGCACACACAAGGCAATAAATATTGGGAAATGGACTTACATGCTGTAAAGAGTCTATTTACACATAAAAAACTATGACGAACTGTTCAAATTAACAACTAGCTTAGGAATTGTCAGCGGGTTCTGCAATTAAACAGCCAAGCAAATTATGTTACTGATTTTTGCTGCACAACACCTTCGGTGATCACTTACCGTATTTTCCAATTGTTTTATTGTGTCCAGGTCTGTCACAATTTGCGTTCGGCTGACTACGTCAAGCATTTGCGTGTTGTTATTTTCAACTGTTTGCTCTGTCGTTGCCATTTCCGCAATTTTCTAAAAAACGACTTGGCTTGAGAATCCTTTCTCTGAATGAAAAGAGAAAAAATCAACTCAAGTTTATTCATATTTGAACTGAAGTTTTCTGGGAAGTCAATAAAGCGTCAATTTTAATCAATTTAATCAGATATTACGAACTTGATACTCAATTACAAATACGCAGCGAAAATTCTTTATTTGAACCGGCTAAAACCACGATACAAAAAGTAATCGGTATTAAGTACTCACTTTTTTTCCTGTCACACGAAAATGTTCAAAGGATGTGGTAAACGTATAGTGATAAAAGTCAAAACGTCTTTCACTAAAGTGAGTCATCGAACCGCCATAATGCGATCGTGACTAAACCACCACACGAGTACATACGAGTACATACGAGTACATACGAGTACATACGAGTACATACGAGTACATACGAGTAACATAGGAGTACATACGAGTGACATACGAGTACATACGAGTAACATACGAGTACATACGAGTGACATACGACTATTTTCTGGTGGTGATCATTGAGTTCTATAATAACTGGAGCGGCTATCTTTACTGGGGCGAGGTCGCCAAAAAAATGGCGGCCAACGGACGTATTTCCGCTGAAATGATCGCTTTGCAGAAAAATAATATTCTAGACCTCCCCCTGGTGTCTATAGTAAATTATAAAGAATTTTTAAAAAACAAACACGATATCACAGAATATGGATATCGTTAGTTCCATATTCTGTGACGATTCTTTTTTGGCATTTCTTTTATAATGCCAACACTTCAATCGTTCAATTGTTGGATGTCGTAGTTTCCACAAAAAGGAACATATCGCTTCTCACAGGTGAGGTAGTTGTTTGTTTTGTTAGTCCGTCAACGATTGAAAAGCAATTATACATGCACTTGAAATGCCATAAAATACATATTAAAGATCGTATTTTTTAAGACTGACTTGAACGCCAAATATACTGATGTTTTCCTGTTTTTGTCTATAAAATTCTGCATACTTTTCTGTCATTTGTTAATGCATGAAATCGTAAATTTACCTATCTATTTGCAAAATAGTTTCCCTAAAGCAAAAAAGACCCTGCACACATTTTGCTCTGTGAAAGTATCAAAAAGAAATGATCAGCCCCAACAGTACCCATGATTTGGAGCAGAGCTTGTTATGTTCTATTTGCTGACAAAATGCAGGGAAGACCAAGGAGTAAAGATGACTGGAAGATGTTATTGACCAGGCAGAGTCTTAAAAAAATGATAATGCTGTAAAGATAATTGATTTATTGTCTGCCTTATCCAGAGTTATTTAATTTGATCATGGTCAAATTCTATGGATGGAGACAATGGATTCACTAATGATGCCTTGAATGCTTTGAAGTTAAAGTTCATGAACCAAAAAAAGATGGCAAGAAGGTTGTGTGTGTTTTGATGCTTAATTAAATGTCAATTCACAACATATAAAATGGAAAGGCCATAAAGTTTGTGTCTATGTAAACATTTGTACTGAGATTGATGATGACTCGATGCAGATGTGAAGCATCAAACTGTATAAGCCATTGGGTTTTATATAACTTAATGTTTAAATCATGTCATATCTTTATCAAAATATTTTAGTTGAGTGTTGTTTAAATGTTACTAATATCTAATGCACTATACTGAAGCATTAAAGATTCAGTGATGAAACCTTTAAAATTACTGTACTGTATATTTCTTATATATTTCTTATATTTCTTTAAGAAACAGTTTGAGCTTATTTACCTATTAGAGTACAGAATGGAGATTTATCATATGCATCATTGCTGCTTTTTAAATAAATGTTTTCACTTTTCAAAGCTTTTCTACAAATATTTTGCTTATTTCTTTTCATGAGATTGATGATATAGAGGTAATATAATCCAATAACTTTATAATTTCTAGAAAGCATTCATGTATGAAGAAAACACCAAATGTGGATACTCAGAGAACAAAATGCACTACCAACTGCTTATGAAATTTATTATTGAAGTGAAAACTGTGTTAATCATTCAAATTGTGCACTTATATTGAAAATATAGGAAAAACAAAACAAAGTGAAAAAGAAGGGTAGAAGTATTAAAACTAAAAATGAATTATAAACACCATTGGAAGCATAAGTGTTTTGATGATTATTTGCATTTTGCCCAATTTATATATCAATACAACAAAATCAAAATGTGCTACAACTTTACAAGTATTTGATGCAGTTGCACTTCAGAACATCACAAAAAGGTTACTTAAAGTAATTTCTATACAATATTGTTTGTTTTCATTTACCAAACCTATGCAGACTTGAGTCTTTGAAATTTAATATAAAACTCAATTACAGAAAATCCGTAAATATCCAGAGATTTAATATTTACTTTTTTAAAGAAACAAGTAAAAATCCTACAATTGTGGCGAAAAAAGCCATTGCCTTTCCACGAAAAGAAGCAAAATAGCAATGATAACAAATAAGCTAAATTCTCTCCCGTGAACAACTGTGGACATGAGCTATGATATACTTTTTTGTATAGACTAAAGAGTTTAATCGATCAAACAAGTTTGACGCTGGTAAGAAAACGACGCATATCTGCATTCATAGATGTGTAGCCGACATATAGCTCTTTCGTCGATAGTTATAAATACATCCTCGTAGGAGCCGATAACTGGAAAGCTAGGTTGACTCGCTGTGACGAATTGTAGGTTTTTATCGTGATTTTCATCAAAAAATTGCTTGCCGAATCCCAAATACACACATAGATTTTCTTCACTCTTTCCTCAGGAGGGAGTGGGAAATTGTGAAATTTTCGGAAAAGCGGTCAATTTCGGTAAATCTCAGCGGCAACGGACGAAATCCGCCATTTTTTTGGCGTCATCAGATATCTAAGGCCGCGCTTGAGATAGCCGCTCCAGTTATTATAGAACTCAATGGTGGTGATTGCTAGATAGTATACTTCAAAATAAGATTTCCGCTGGGAGACTGGTGCGAGTTTTGCAATATCTTCGGAAAAAAGAAACGAGAGCATCACGAATAACGAACAAAGATAGAGCGATAAACCCTGGGTAAACCTATTATCAATGAGAATAGTTTAGTGTAGGAGTTTTATTGTGATGAAGTTGTTGGTATTTGATTGAATCAGTATGCTAGAAATTCATTCTCCTCAAGGTAAGAATCGCAAAAAAATATATAAATGTATTGAATAATTATACTATTTTACTCATATAATTGAAGCAAATTATCAAGATATACAATAAAATACATCCAGGAATATTCACTCATTAATATATATGTACATATATATACGACTATGAGATACAAACATATGAGACTGCGAGATATACAAAGATATATGTCGAATTCAGGTAAATCTTTAACAAACGAAATTTTACACGGGTTGAGCCGGTTGACACATCAACAGCCTTATTAGGTAGCAATATTAGTCTACTACAAATTTATTTACATTAAATCAGTTTATGATTAGCATGATATGGCATTTGAGAACAGTACCTATCAGGTTATTAATTAAGACCAGACACTATATTTTTCTCTGATGGCTGATGCAACACTTTGTCTGTTTCCCACCCTGATTATCATCACTGCAACATGTGAAGAGAGAAACATAACCTGTGTATAGCAATATACTTATCCATAATTTTAACCATAATTGTGCAATGTCCCATAATCCAAATGTGCTTTTCTATGGCCTTTCATTATGTCTCATGCATGATTATTTTTTATATATATAGTGGTGGATCTAGGAAAATACATTGAAACAGTCCATCAATTGGTTTCATTTAACCTTGAAAAATTCCTAAACAAAGCCATTGTTATAAAGGTACTTCGAATTGAAAAATATTGCCCATAACTTATTTTTCCTTACCCTAGATCCACTACTGATTTTATAAAAATGTACATCATGAACAGTCCTTCAGCATTTTATCATTGTTGACCTTTCCAGAATATGACAAGGCTCTTTGTTTACTTCATGTGGGAACATTGTGAGCTGTTTTCTTTCCAGACACTGTTTTAGATGTTGACGCATCTGGCTCTGTTGGAAAATGACTGCTCCAGGATAAATTCCATTAGCAAGAGAAACTGCATTAGCTATGGCAAAAAGACCACAATCTACAAATCCTGCTTGCTTTTGACAGCACCTGAGTTTTACTAGCAGTAGACCTCCTTTTGCTATACTCTTGTATAAGTATACCAATTGCATGGTGAGTGGATGTGTCATCCCAGGATACAGAGAGTCGTAGACTATCACTGATTGTCCATTTGACTGAGATACTAGCCAATGACCTGGAAGATTATGAAGCTGGATTATGTTAGTCATTGAACTGTTTATATTTGGTAAACCTTCCCCACTAAGTTGGTTTGATACTATCAGTGTATCCATTAGGCCACATGCTTCTGGGAATTGGTTTTTAAGAAGAATTTGTGCTGCATTGATGTGTTTGTCGTTCATTAGATCTCCTGAACTAAGTATGTTTTATCAACCAGAGATAAATTTATATTTGAAACATGTAGCCAAGGCTGTGGTCTTGAAAGATTTTCGAAAGCCGTTTATTAGGCGAGCTGAGGTCAATTACATTAGGTCCCGTTGAACACCTCTTCACAGCCTTACCAGAAGGTATTGGTATATGTACTTTATAATTTTTTTTCATTATTTCTGCACGTCTTCCAACTCGACCAGTGTATGGGTGCTTAGGACGCCCATAGGATCTAATATTAATTGACTTAACTCTTGTTTGCTTCTTTTGACTATTTTGATTTTGTCATTTTTTAGATTCTTGTTTTGGTAGTGAATCTTGAAGAATTATTCCTGCTTCCTGTGGTGCAGAGTTTCGTGCTTCTTCTAGCAATGTATTAAGACCATTGGTAAGAGACAATAGTTGTTGTTTGTCATCTATAAGAAATGTCAAGCTGGATAGTTCTTTCATTAGATTTCTACATTTGAGACGTAGAGCATTTTACCATATGTCTTTTCGGTGGAAGAGGAGCAAAATCATCAGCATCATTTGGCACAAGCGATTCATTCTTAATGTGTTGAGGTGAATTCTGCTGCTCTTTTTTACTAGGAATATTTTCGAGCGAGTTATCTGCTGGAACTATGGTGTTATCTAGATGAAAAGTGGATTTTCTCGATAAAGTGGGCTGAGTCTATCCCATTTCCACTCTGGAAAGCTCTTATGCAAGCACAGAAGTGTTTGCACAAAAGTTTGTTGTGTCTCCAGTCTACGCAGGTGCAGTTTGGAAGCGTTTGTTCATCACCAAAAAGTACGATATGGTGCTCCTTCCCTGTTGAACTTTTTACTTCAAAGACCCCTGGGGACACCATGTGGACCATGTCTTTGCTAATGTCACTATCCCAACGCTTCATAATATGAGACACCATTCTGGCAGGTCTGTTGTGCAGAAATTTTGGAAGTTCCTCATTATAAGCACGGTAACCTTCGTGACATTTAACATTTAGCTCAGCATATCTAAAATTGTAAAGGAAAACGTCACTCACGAATATTATTACATCTTATTAGAATCCAAAGATGACTAAAGTCTACAGTAAGTGCCGCTGTAGTTAGCCTAATCACACCTTTCAATAATTTGTTAATTAAGCAGTTGTTTTTTCAAAAGAAGGGGCCTGTGTCACACAACAAAAACCCTACGAAATGAATTTTTCCTTCAAAACTGGTATTTTTTCGTTATAAAACATAGAATCATTATAGTATTGTGAAGTATTAAAAATTTTACTTTTTGAAGGTATTTGGGAGAAACCGATCAACAAGTGCTGTCAGCATATCACTTAAGGAGCACCCTTTATTCCCATGGAGGTACTCATATTTGAATGCCTTATTCTGTCTTTCAATGCCATTGTTCGTGTTCACTGCACAAATGAAATCTCCTGTCCGATACGCTTGACACCATCTCTGTAAGAAAACGATCAATACAGTATATTTTGCATGTTCTGCTAGTACATAGTATTTTATTTGAGATTATGAAATAATACAACGATATAAGCCCTGGAGATTTGGTTTTACAAAATTGCCTAGTAAAATTTTATAATTTTATAAAAAAGGGTCTCCTTCGAAAATAGCAAAATTAATTTAGACTATTTCATGAATAGTACATCGCTTTTCTATCAACGTTGATTCCATCGCTATATTTAGTTTACTACCTTAATGTTTGGCAGCCACTTTCCACCAAACCAGTTTCTCATTTTGAGATTTTCTTTCCAAAATATGCTTTCTGTCAGGGCGTTCATTGACTTTTGACATTGTTCAGACGTAGCAGCATGTGCAATATTGCGTAGTAGATTTAGAATTTCCTGTTTATTCTGAAAACACCATTATCTATTTTGACGTCCACTCCTGCCACGATTTCTCTCGATGAAAATCACAAAGAAGTACTTCCGCATCTATTTTACATGAAAATGTTTTATATGTAATGAAATAACTACTTTTCTCTAACGACACCAACTATGTTTATTTTAGCATTTTTCAATGTTCGATTTTTAACTTTTTGGTCTGCATGCGATTAGAATTATGGCAAAAAATGCGACAATATATTCATACACGTATAAAGTTTATCGGGGGGAATTCCGTAAATGTTTAAAGCGTTATCGTGGAGCTTTAAAACCACGATGCAAATCTGTTGTACGTTTGCATACCTGGAAAGGTTGTTTCGAGTGCTTGAATTTCTTCTTCGGCGAAATCTACCATAAAACGAGAAGGCTTCCATATATCAGCATTCCACTCCTTAAACACCATCAACGCTTCCTGTATACATTTGATGTTTTCGAACTGTATGATAAATGATCCAACAACTTGGTAACATACATTTGTTCTCACACACAAGAAATAAAGTGGGAGATCATACTTCGTTGTTCTATAGGTGGCATCGAGTAAGCACATTTGATTGCCATACTTTCCTAGGAGGTGTTTCTGATATTTCGTTTGATGACAGAAAATTAAAGTGCTTGTGTCCATCTCTAACGATTCCTCTGTATCTTCGTTTGAGATGGTGTTATCATTGTTCTCTGTTGACTCCTCTGCACATGGTTTGCCGGAGTGAGGACGAAACAGAAAGAAATCTTGTGGATTTTCAAACTTCCATTTTTTAATAAGCTCTTCCAAGTTCTTTTGATCATTGGAAGAAAAATGGTTCGGCTTTCCTTTGTAAAGATGGTTATAGATATCCTTGTTCGTAGGATAAAATCGCCTGCTAAGTTTATCTGGAAGTTTACACCCCTTGAATAGTTCACCATTTACAAATAACTCAAGATATCTACGTGCTTCGCATACTGAGTGAACACCGTCGCGGGCCAGCTCTGCTAGCTTCTCCACTATCACTGGATCCAATGGTTCTCTTATACCAGCTGCCTGCAAGGTGTAAAACTTTTACAAAAATTTTTAGCTATAGCTAATCTCTTTTTAAACAAATTTTACCATTCCAGTTATGTGATTTTTGTGTTCTGAAGGGCGAGGAAACTTCACGACATAGTGCATCTCGATGTCGCTGCTCTTAATTGTGCCAGTTTTCATTGTCTCATGTAATTGCTTTGCTGTTCTTCTTCTGAAGAAGATACTGTCCTTGTCCAACTAAAGAGTAAAACATTGTAATGTCCTTTTACGCACAAGTTTTATAATTATATATTATTTTGTCTTCATTTTATAGTGTTTAACAAACCTTCATTCTAGGGAATTTTGCAATTTGCGTTATATAGATTAAAGCTGGGCATTGTTTCTTCTTTGTCGTTTGAGCAAACAATCTTCGCGTAGAATTGTAGCAGTGGTCTGTAACCTAAAAATGTATAAATTTAACATTCTTTATAAATACAAGGAAGACGTAAAATATTGTATAGTTGGCTGCATTTTTATTAGCGCAGATTATACATTGTGCAGGAATACACAAGGTGAAAAAAGGCAACGAGATGTCTTAGCAACATTTTAGAGGACGCAAACTATCATTCTTATTACAGTAATCTAGTCATTGACTACCTGTCGCTGCTGATTTTTCTCTTTCTTCTTTAGCTTAGATTTTTCATTTTGTCTTTTCCTTGGTGGCACCATAAAATTTTATCTCCGACATGCACAAAAGGTATTCCGTCAAATGGGATAATAGGCCCTTGTAACGCTTCATTCTTCCTTTCCCAGTAAACTTTTACGTTGTCTTTTCTAACATCTGAATATGTTAATGATTAAAATTTTACAACCAGGGACGTCTTATATCAATGTAAATTTTTGGTTGTGCTGTTTTTAAAAAGCGTAATATTACGATTAAATTAAGCGCAAGAAGAAACGATTACCAGAGCGTTGTGTCTCTTTATTTATAGTAGTAAAGTGCACTTAATTTATTAGTATGCTATTTACTACTTTTTTTATGCAATTAATTTTGTACATTTCAGCTTTTTCAACTGCCACTCAAATTAATTTTTATTAAATTGACGATGTATTAAACTGTTGAGCTAATTACCTTTTGATCCAAAGCTCTTATCACCGTAGTAGACAATGAACTTGCTGTTTGTCTCAACTTCGTATTTCACGATAAGCGGCATTACATCAGACAGGCTTTGCACGGCAGCCCTGTGGCCGTCACAGCAGTCCCAAATTTTATTCATTGACATTAATTCGTTGAAAAATTTACATTACAAAGATAGTAAATTTTCATAAGTTTATAATGACGAACTATAGCCTATATGCGTGGTGTTCATTAATTGTTTTCCCGCAAAATTTTAAAAATGGCGCATTGCATTATAACAAAAAAGGACATCCTTCAAAAGAACACGGTATACTCGTGATGCTCTCGTTTCTTTCCGAAGATATTGCAAAACTCGCACCAGTCTCCCAGCGGAAATCTTATTTTGAAGTATACTATCTAGCAATCACCATTTTCTGGTCAGCAAATGAGAAACAACACAATTTCTTCAATACATTGATATTTGCGTTTATTTTTCCTTGTATTTGTGTGGACTTTGGGGCAACCATTTGATGGATTTAAATGCTGAAAAGGTATTTTACTTTCATACTACATTCATTTGTATGTTTTAGTTGAATTTGTTGTAGATATTTTGTCGATGCGATTTGCCAGTATTTGAGCGCTTTTTGACACACTTTCACCTAGGAAATACATATTTATGAAAGCGATTATACATTCATTTTGACTCTGAAGATGACTACCGCTAAGGTTGTCAAAAAATTATACCTGCTATCGTCATTAGCCTTTCGTGGTTGTCTAGCTTTATCAAACATCGTGAGACTCGAATTTTCCCTTATCAGAGGTAACTCAACATGTGACTTGGACGAGATTTGATCGAACTCGCACCTTTCGGGATACTAGTCCGCCGCTCTACCTCTTGAGCTACCAAGCCCACAGGGATTGGAGAATGGCACCATGTTTCGAGTGTATTGCGCCATCCAGTAAACTGCTATAGTGGCGAGCATCTCTCGTCCATACGCAGCTTAAAAGAGATTTGAGTCGTCTCCAATTATGTAGTATTGTGAACGCTGCCACATTTATACATAGTATCTAACTGACAATGGCCGTACAGAAGATTATTCAATCGAGGCCCACCTTTCGGGTACTGATGAGGATCCTACCAGTTTAAGTACTATATCTCTAGAAGACTTGTAATCTATCTCTCCAGAAGCCAGCACCTCTAATTCAAGGCCAAGTACCCCTCTTTCTAGGGCCAGTACCCCTCATTGCAGGACCTCTCTCTGTGATTGTCCCAGCTATCCGAGAGACCTCACCTGGCCAGTCCTTAAGTTCAGACAGATTTGAGATGTCGCCATCCTCATCTAACAGGTCCAAAAGAGAGCTGCCTCACCCACAATATCAGCACTTTTAGAGAGACTGGACTCAGTAAAATTATTAAGAGAAGAAAGAATAGCTCATAGCTCAAATAAAGAAATAAGATTTGCAGAGACAATAGCAGATACACTGAAGAAGTTTCCACCACAACTGAAATCAGAAGCAAAATTTGCTATTAATAAAATTTTATTTGAAATAGAAAAAAACTTTACAGTAGTGACTTTAATTAATAAAACTTTGTATTTATGCAGTGAATGTGTCATGGAGATATATTAAGACATATTCAACTTAGTTTTGTTGTAGAGAGAAATAGCTTTTTCTATTGTGAAGGTTTTTGGCTGATAAAGCTAAAGGCAAAATAAACATGGATGGTAAAAAACTATATTTCAAAGTAGTAATCATTGAGTTTTGTATTTTATAACAATGCTGGAGGGCATTCACATTAATGCTTCATGCAATGTTACAGATGTAGCCAGCCCACAATTTTATGCTATGTAAATATTTTTGTCTTTGCTCACAATAAAATTAATAGATTTTTAAAAAAATGAATACTGCTAATAATAAAAAAAATTATCTGGCTGGCTATACCACTGCAATGTTATGAATTCATCTTCATGTACCTATAATTTACAAAAAATATTAACACAATTTTTTAACATTTAGGGTTATTTTGGGTATTTGTAAGGGTTATTTAAATAATTTAATAAATGTGTAATCAAAATATGCTCAGGGTCTTGACCTCAGACATCGTCTATTTACAACATTTGCTTGCCATGTCAGCATCCCATGAACTGACATAATATAACTCTTTAAGTCATTTTGAACAGCTATTGCAGCACGTGATGACCTTGCATTGGACAGCTGCAAAAATTTTCCTCCATTCTCCTTCTTGTGTGTCATGCAAAGCAGTGGTTGTATCAGTGAAGTTTGATGGAATATATCAAGAAGTGGAAGCATTTGTGGCATCTGTTTTGTTGAGGAAGTTGTGAAGAGCAACACATGCTTTCACAATATCAACTACCTTTTGTGGATGAAATTCCATTTGTCGTCCAAGAATCCTCCACCTAGCAGACAATATCCAAATGAGTTCTCTATAACTCTTCTTGCTCTGGAGTGCCTGTAGTTTTTAAACTCTTTCTGATTCAGTGAGGTTAGAGCCTAACAAGAAAAATCATAAATGCTAGGTGGAAGCATTTGCAGTATCTTTTTGTGGCA